CGCATCTTCTCTAAGAGTGCCCTTAACAGACACACACACACACACACACACACACACACGCTTTCTCAGAGTGTCCCCGTTCCTCCCCCCCCCCACACACGTCTTCTCTTAGAGTGCCTTAACACACGCATCTTCATTAAGAGTGCCCTTAACACACACACACACACACACACACACACAGAGATACACACGCACAGATACACACGTCTACCTCACTGATGCCTTGGCTGGGCATGTAAAACAGGATAGGCAACTTTCAGGGCTGCAAGGCGAGGGATGCGCAATCTTTTCGTTCCGTCCGATAAGATAGATATGCAGGTAAAACTGACCAGCTACGTGTTCAGAAAGATCTTGTGCCACTTTTACGACCAAGTTCTTTCAAAAAGTGACGAAGTGGCCAAAAATAAAATAAAAAACGAATGCATGCCATTGAACGTGGGGAAGGCTGTCTAATTTGTTCCCAGATACGGTGACGACTAATCACCAAGGCAGAGCATTTGCCAAAACTGTGTTCTTCACGCGAATAGAACGCAGGGGTCCATTTAAAAAAAAAAAAAAAACGCAGGCGTCCATTTTTGGTGCATTCGGGCCAACGGTTCAGTCTATATATCTATATATCTTGTCTATTGTCTATAGATACAGCGACAATGATGACCGTCCGTCGATTTTCCGTCGGTTTTATTCGGGGGAAGATGGTAGACTAATCACGTCGCACCTCCCAATTTCATTTGCCGATTTGTCCAAATTTCGATTTTACTCCCAAACTGTCGAACAACTTCTTTTTTTTTTTTTGGAAAAAAGAAATACAAATAATTTTCTTTGAATGTAATAAGCTGACGCTGTCCCTCCTGCAAAAAAAGAAGAAAAGCTCTGTCCCAATTGATCATTCGCATGTCGACGGGAGTTTCCCCCAACTGTCTGAAAGCGCATGACAAAAAGGGAGGGACTGTTACGCAATTCTGTCACCTCTTCTTCTTCTTCTTCTTCTTCTTCTTCTTCTTCTTCTTTTCCTCCTTTTTCTTCTTTTTCTTCTTCTTCTTCTTTTTCTCTTTCTTTTTCTCTTTCTTCTTCTTTTTTCTCTTTCTTCTTCTTTTTCTCTTTCTTTTTGTCTTTCTTTTTTTTTTTCCTTCTTCTTCTTCTCCTCCTCCTTGTTCGTTGTCTTCCTCTTCTTCTTCTTCTTCTTCTTCGTCTTCTGCTTCTTCTTCTTTTTTTTGTTCTTTTTTTTGTTCTTCTCTGCGTCTTCTTCTTCGTCGTTGTCTTATGCGGTCTACGTTGCATGAGATAGATTGCCTACGTTGATCCTCTCGCTCGTCTGGATCCGCTATTTTCCTTATCCTGTAATACCGGAGCAATCAGTCAGCTCACGTGGCATGCATGAGACAAATCGACCACGTGGCATGCATGAGACAAATCGACCACGTGTCATGAGGTAGATCGATCAATATCCCGACTCCTTGCCCGAGGTAGATCGATCAATATCCCGACTCCTTGCCCGATCATCTCAAGGCCTATTACTTGAACCGGAGGGCAGGGGGAGGGGGCTCTCCTCTCCTCGTCCTCCCTTCCCTCCCCTCCCCTCCCCTCCCCTCCCTCCCCCCCCACCATCACCACTGTTCCTCGCCGCTGCTTTCCGCCCCCTTCTTCTTCTTCTTCTTCTTCTTCTTCTTCTTCTTCTTCCTCCTCGTCCTCCTTCGTCGTCGTCGTCGTGGTCTCCATCGCGCCCCAAGATTATTTCCTTTCCTCCTCCTGTGCCTGGCGCGACCAAACCATCATCACAATCCGCACCAATTACTGATCTTCTTTACACACTCTCTCCTTCCCCCCCCCCCCCCCCCCCCAAAAAAAAAAAAAATTCCCCACTCAAACTGGCCCCTACAACAGCTAGCCTTTTCCTTGACGTACGATGGCATCGTTGCCTATGCGTACGCACGACACGTGTAAACAAATTGCAGAGTTTTTCAATTTTTAATCGCGAAAAAAAAAAGGGGAGAGAGAGAAAATAGGAAAAACGACTGTGATCACCCACGATA